TGCAGAAGCCCTTGGGAAGCTCTGCAAAGGCTCCGCAGAAGCTCTGCAGAAGCTGTTCAGCAGCTCTGAGGAAGCTCTGCAGAAACTCTGCAGAAACTCTGCAGAAGCTCTTCAGAAGCTCCGCAGAAGCTCTTTTGAAGCTCTGCAGAAGCACTGCAGAAGCTCTTCAGAAGCTCTGCAGAAGCTCTTCAGAAGCTCTGCGGAACCTCTGCAGAAGCTCTGCAGTAACTCTGCAGAAGCCCTTGGGAAGCTCTGCAAAGGCTCTGCAGAAGCTCTGCAAAAGCTCTGCATAAACTCTTGGATCGGATGCAACCCAGTGTTCTCCACAACGATTTGTATAGGAATCCTCCAGGTTGCGATCAGTCCGTGTCCAGTGGTTATAATCTGACCGAAGTAGTTTCTGACCAGTCCGAAATATTTGTGATCGGTCTTATTCTCCCCACCCCCCAGTCCATCATGAGAAGGTGGGGGTCACTACCGGTTCAAATCCGCCCCCTCGCCGCTGGCAAACGACTCTCGATCCTCGGGACAGGGTGACAGTGGTCGGGACACTGGGACAGTGGTGGATACGGTGGTGGGGACAGTGGTGTGGGGACAGTGGGACAGGGACAGTGGCGGGGATACTGGGACGGTGGTGGGGACGGTGGTGGCGGGGACAGCGGAAAGGGGACAGCGGGACAGTAGCGGGGACAGTGGGGATAGTGGGACAGTGGTGGGGACGGTGGTGGTGGGGACAGTGACGAAGGCGATGGTGTGGACGGTGGTGGGACAGTGGTGCATCGGGGAGGGTGGTGGGGACAAGGGACACAGTGGGACAGTGGTGGGGACAGTGGTGGGGACAGTGGGGACAGTGGGACAGCACATTGGGACATCGGCGGGGACAGTGGGACAGTGGTGGGGACAGTGGGGAGTGTGGGACAGGGGTGGGGACAGCGGGGACAATGGGGAGAGCGGGACCGTGGTGGGACAATGGTGGGGACAGTGGGGACAGTGCGACAGTGGTGGGGACACTGGTGGGGACAGCGGGGACACTGGTGGGAACAGCGAGGACACTGGGACAGTGGTGCGGACAGTGGGACAGTGGTGGGGACGGTGGTGGTGGGGACAGTGGTGTGGGGACTGGGGCGGTGGTGGGGACAGTGGGGACAGTGGGACAGTGGTGGGGACGGTGGTGGTTGGGACAGTGGTGAGGGCGGTGGTGATGACGGTGGTGCGACAGGGGTACAGTGGGACAGTGGTGGGGATAGTGGTGGGAACAGTGGGACAGCTCAGAGGGACAGCGGCGGGGACAGTGGGACAGTGGGGACAGTGGGGACAATGGGACAGTGGTGGGGACCGTGGGGAAAATGGGGAGAGAAGCACGTGGTGGGAACAGTGGTGGGGACAGTGGGGACAGTGCGACAGTGGTGGGGACAGTGGTGGGGACAGTGGGGACGGTGGTGGGGAAAGTGGGGACAGTGGTGGTGTGGACGGTGGTGCTGGGGACAGCGGTGGGGGATGTGGTGCGGACCTGTGGGGATTCGGGAGTCGTTTGCCGTCGGTGAAGGGGGGGGGGTTCAAACCGGCAGTGACCCCCCCCGGTTTTGTGGAGAAGGGGGGGGGAGGGGGGGATTCGAACCGGTAGTGACCCCCCCCCGGTTTTCCGGAAAAGGGGGGGGTTCGAACCGGTAGTGACCCCCCCGGTTTTCCGCTGTCCCACTGTCCCGCTGCTCGCGAGGAGCGGGAATCGTTTGCCGGCGGCGAGGGGTGGGCGTGGGGGTTCGAGCCGGTAGTGACCCCCCCCGCGGGTTTCTGGAGGGGGGGGAGGAAGGTGGAGGGGGGGGAGGGGATTCGAACCGGTAAGGACCCCCCCGGATTTTCAGGAGGGTGGGGGAAGGTGTTAGGGGGGCGGGGGTTTGCCAGGGGAAGGGGGGGGTGTCCAGCAGGGGGGGGGAGGTTGTTCGAAGGGGGGGGGGGACCCCAGGTTCCGGAGGAAGAGGGGGGAAACTTTCCACATAAAAGCGGCAATGGATCACGCTCTCTCTGGTATCTGATGATATTACGCCCCCCTCTTTGATCGATATTCTGCCGTACTATCCGCCCTAACCCCCCGAGCGGATTACGCACCCGAGAGGGGGGGGCGGATATGAGGAGCAAGGAGAATGAAAATGGAAGACCCAAGGCGTTTCGGGCCCAAGAACCGTCAACAACCAATCCGGAATCGAAAGCTGACCA